ATATGTTTAAAGGACGCAGTATTTCCGGAACATTTTCAAAAATTAAGTTGAAAAAGTTAGTTTTTGTAAAAAAGTTACTATTTTGAATCCCCCCTGTGAGCAGAATAAGTGTTAGATTTTCAAAAAAATTAAACAAATGAAAAGAAATTACATAAGGATTCAATATAAAAAATATTATTTTGATTTGTTAATATTTGAAAAAGTTATAGCATTTAAGTACAAAAAACATCCCGCCGATAGAAGATGATTTTTATCGCAAACATTACATTTTTTTTTAAATTTCGACAGCCATTTGCACATAGAAGATAAGGTGTCGGGACAAATTTTTTTTTTCATTTTATAGTATACAGATGTTCAGTAAATAAGGAAACGAATTTCTATTGTACTCATTGTTTGTAACAATTTAACTGTTTCCTAACTTACTGAACACTCTGTATAACATAACCTTTGATTTGATATATATTTAAGGACGCAATATTTCCGGAACACTTTCAATAGTTAAGTTGAAAAAGTTCTATTTTTATACAATGTTTCAAGTTTTGAACGCCCCCTATATATGGGGAAATTGTCCAATTTTAATAAAAAGTATGTCAAATGAAAGATGTACTTATAATATATTTAAAAAAAAAAATTTGTGCTGATAATTATATTTTTCGAAAAGTTATAGCATTTTTAAGTTGAAAATTTTAACACAAAAATAGCGTTTTTTTAATAAAATTTTTTTTCNTTTTCGAAAAGTTATAGCATTTTTAAGTTGAAAATTTTAACACAAAAATAGCGTTTTTTTAACTACGGCAGCCGTTTACATGCAGAAGATAAAGTGTCGGGACAAATTTTTTTTTTCATTTTATAGTACATAAAATAAGCTTTAATTTGATATATGTTTAAAGGACGCAGTATTTCTGGAACATTTTCAAAAATTAAGTTGAAAAAGTTAGTTTTTGCTATTTTAAATCCCCCCCAATGAGCAGGTTAAGTGTTAAATTTTCAAAAAAATAATATCAAATGAAAGGAAAATATCTAAGGTTTTAGTATAAAAAAAAATTACGTTGATTTTTGAAAAAGTTATGGAAGTTTTAAGAAAAAAAGTAAAAAAAATGACAAAATTTACCGATTTTTAAATTTGTAATTTTTTTGGATATCTTTTCCATTTGCGGGGAATGAGGGAAAATTTTTCAATTTTTAAGGGTAATGTCTTCACAGACATATATATAGTATAGATATAGTAAAATTAATACCTTCTCAGCTTCGCATCAAAGCTAAAAAAAAAAACTTAGTACGTTTAGTTTTTTTTATATAAAAAAAGAAAATGCTAGCACAGTGGGGGCGTAGATAGTTGGGGCAAGTATAGATGATATCTAACAGTAATTAAAATCTCTATCATAAGAAATGGTTCGAAACAAATTTTTACATAGTGTTTAATTTTAAGAAATTGGTATTTAAATCAGTCCGGTAAGAGCTGATATAAAGTGACAACTAGCAAAAAAAAAAAAAAAA